AGTTATCTTGTTCTTATAGTGTCTACATAACTTGAAATTGAATTAATCTTTGATTTCATTAGGTTTCTTGATAGCTGTCTCGTTTTTGTTTTACTTAGCACTACATTTTAGCAACTGACACATTGAATCACTGTACTTTCATTGTTGATGTAACTTCTGATTGATTCTGCTGTATATCGCTATGACCGAAGCACTTTTTGTATTTTTTAGGAATGCTCATTGTTGATTACTAGGAATCAGTTTCGATTACTCACCTCTAGGGCAAATGGAATTGAACATTCATTTTTCTTTGGAGTGAGTGTCGTTACTTGACTTAATGGGATTCTTTTCCTATTGTGACGATGGGATTTTATCAGTTATTGTTGTTAGCGTTGGTGTATATGCCTGTTAGAAAAGTATTTTTCAGGTATACTGGGTCTAGTTCTTACCTACGCTTTCTCATAGTATCTATTCTACACGTTCTTGTGCATTTGCCACGTTATTATCGTCTTTTTCTTCTGTTTGTACTGGGATGGGAGTCGATGAAAAAACCAACGGTCCAGAAATTCTGGAATTCTCTGAATTCCTGATTTTACGAAAGATATACAGTCATTAGAAGTTATCTGCAGTACGAATAACACCTCTGCATAATCACGTCACCTAAAATACACATCTGTTCTATGTATAATTGTGTAATAATGGTTTTATCTAGACAGTATTCATAAGATAAATATATACCAACTAAGACTGATAGAGTTTTGGTCAGTATAGGGTTGTGGGGACTTATAGCATTTAAAAACTATTTCAGGCCTATATGGCTTGTCAAAACTTCGGGACATACAAGTTTATTCCTTTCTCTTGAGCCATATTCTGACCTTATCGATTACTCGTTTGTTACCATTGAATTTTTTAAGCGAGCTAATCTGCATGTATTGCTTAGTCTACTCATCACAAGTCTGCAGGTTATTGTTATCTGGTTATAAATACTGAGTCACTTTTGACCAAATCGAGTTGGCTTATTTGCCTTTTGTGCTTCGTTTTGCTATTTCGTTTCTTATTCTGAATGTCTGTTTGTGATAAACGAGTGCCCGAGGTAACTTCATACAACTCAACCCTTATTTGGTTTCTCATAACCGTCTTCACACAAGGAGGGTTAACCTAGGAAATACACGGAGTTAAGTGGAAGACCGATTTTCAAAGCATATTCATTTCGTCTTTCCAAATCAAAGTTAGATCAGCTGGCTACAAAAGACTGTTGAGCTATTGTTGATCAATGTTCGGCCACTAAATTACAAGTGAAATTGAAACCCATGCCCTAGACGTAAATGAGGAATTGTTTAAGCTCAGTGGCTAAGTGTACAACACGGTAACGTTTGAAGCGGAAGATTGCTGGTTGTAATCCCATAATGAACGTCGACTATATTATTCAGGTACATCTAGGTGAAGAGCAGTGAAATGGGGGAAAACGTGAATCTTGTCTTCCACTACTAGCCATATTCCATTTATTCCTAATCATTCATCTTAAAGAGACGTAAGAAACCAAGTGACAATGTGTTTCAGTCACATTTGGCCTCCTCCTTCATCGAGTTTAGGAAAATAATGTAGTAGTTTTACACATCTGAATTTATTCAGACATATTATATCACATCGTGGCGTTTTCAGCTAATCTGTTTTTGTTATGATCAGTAAGTGATAAATCTTGGATCGTGTATCCTTCACTTCATATTTATCTGTCCTCCATTAACAGTGAAAACCCTATTTGATCACATACCTAAACGTTTATCTAACAATGGCCTCTCAATTACATAAGTTGCTTATTGCCAGTTGCAATATTATATATGGGGAAAAGGAACTATTATCATTTTTCAAAAATGCAGGATTTTAACAAACTTCTTCTCTGACAGCTCTGAACTCAAAAAATAGTTTTATGAGTCAGTTTCCGTTAGTCATCTACTCAATCCTCTTGTGGTGCCGTGATCTGCCTACAGTTAGATCGTATGACAATGTCATCTCTACATATACCCCAGCTACCCTCGAATATCACTACTGACTTAAACTGAGTCAGCAAATAACAGAACCAAATAAGTCAGATACAGGAATGAGGTTTGAATACATATATTTTGTACGCTCATTGATCTAGACAATCATAGAAACGAAGCGGATAATGTCGTTGGAAAAACGGAAAACAAAGCGATGCGGAGATGAGTGAGCCAACTCCATTTGACCATGCATAACCCAATATTTATGGTCAGATCAAAATGTAATGAACTGGGTGAATAATTAACACACATACTATCGTGAAGAATGAGTCAATTGGTCTGTTCAAAAGTTGGATTAACCCATATGGTTTTGACACAGTACCAGCCACTACAGTCCTTAACTTTCTACTGTTGACATGCCTTTCGATTCTAAACTGGACTTTCATAGCCAGAGTAGACCGGATCCACACGGCCTGAGAAAAAATAGCCCGGGACCGATAAGTTCGATTTTCCAGGATTCTATTAGTAAAGTGGTGTCTGGAAAAGGTTTTTCAGAGCAAGTTACTGCGTTGCTTAAAAGGTTGCAATACAGTCAAGAGCCAGTTGGAACGTAAACCGATGGTTTTCAAAGAAGCTGCGAATGCTAACACAAAAATAACATATGAAGAGGGACTCATAAGCCACTTTCTGAAGAACTACAAATTTATGAACCAGGTTCTAAGCAAATAATTCTATTAAGCAATAAAAACATTCGTGAAAAAATGGAACTTTTCAATTTTTAGAAAGAAGGAGTTAAGGAGAACTCAAACCCAGTAATACGTCATGTGTCAGTTAAAACAGTTAATCTAGTGATTTATTAAATTATACACACGGAATTTCTGGTCTAATAGTGTCCAATAATTCTCGCTCAGTACATTCGAATTTTCTACTGGCTTGACGTATATGATCTCATGTTGACCAGTGGTTTGCGTTTGTTACCTTAGTGACAAGTCTTGCTAATCGAACGCTACATCGGGTTCCTAAGCTATTCCCGTAACCCCCAGGCTAGAACTACACAGAGACCTGGACACGAGAAAAAAGGCGCAAAATATGCGAGAAGCACTTTACTGCAAAGGTTCGTTTTAGTACAGAAAATATAGGGCTTTTATAGTATATTAGATGTCCTTGGGTTTCGAAAAGATTCTAGAATGCTACTAAACATGGTAGCAGTGTATTAATCAGCTAATTAGAAACCCTACATGTGACTTCGCAGTGTTTCCTGAGCCTTTCTTGTCTTTTGCGAGAGGTTTTCTGGATCATTCGATTACTTGGATCTTTCCTTACATCGAACTAAATCAGTCACGTTTCAGTGAACACGAGGGAGTTATCTCACAGTTATAACAAACATCCATACGGATGGCAGTATCAACAGTTTGTTCATGTCGTTACTGATGTATTGTAACCAAATATGCTTCATCGGACGTTAATCTTATTACAAAACTGATATGGAGTTGATATTCTGATGATTGTTTTTCCTGTACTTTGGCCGTTAAACCTTTAGTGGTATGTTTTAGAGAATAGTCTCTTCTTTAAAGTCTCCACATAATTCAGAGAGATCTCAGGGTTATGTAGAATTCGGACACTGTTTGTTTGTGTGTTGAAGGACATGTTGTCCCGACAAACCCCATATTCTCTGGAACAGTTAAGTCTCACCCTCTTATATTTTCGAAAATCGTGTAGATGTCTAGTTGGTGGCACTGGAAGAACAAAACACTTATTAATAACCACAGATTTTATGAGCTACCAATAAGAGTTTCAGAGTGGTGATGATGGAAACAATCTTTAGCTTGCTAACTCTTTGTTTTGACGATTGCTAGCTCTTTTACATAATTTACAAATCTGTCAGATATGTTCAAATATGTTCGACATCCTTTAGGTGACTATGTTTAAAAAATGACCATACTAGAAACTGGGTGAAAAAAATTAAGCATGTCAATCACAATAGCCCAAGTGAAACAAGAACATAGTGCGTTTTACTAGGTATGTTTATTACGTGCATAAGGATATCGTTCGTCTGAAAATAGACGGACATGTTTGGTCGGAAAGTCCATTTCCGCTCCATAGGTAACAGCTGCAGTCACACCTAGCGTGTTGCGCCACAAAACACTACAATGGAATGAGGGCAACTGCTGCCGACGAACAGACTCTTCAGATAGGGAAGGTCACCTTTGAAGTTCTCTGTGGCTCCAGGATTCGATGACCACATCAATCAGTAAACACTAGACTGTCGTAACGAATATTATTCATCGAGACATTTCCAAAAAATGCGTTAGAAAAGTTTAAGGAACAGAAACCCTGAATTTCATTCGGTCCCTATCATGTACGTTAGATGCTACTGAAAGAATGTGTAGATGCAGGAAAGTACCTATCCATGAAATGTTTATGGACTTCGCCACTTCTATGTTGTACGTTTTATTTGTTTGGATCAAGTGAATGTGGTTCACAGATTACACTTCCAGCAGGTGTCACTACAGCTCCTCGAGTCGATAGTTTCCGAAGGAGATTCAGTAACTATAAAATTCATATGGTTTACTGGCCTTCGCTAGGAACAGTAGTAGACCATATGTGTACATTAGGAAATTCTTTATCTATTTATTAACATCCCTACACAATAATTCGAATTTTATTATTGGCAACCCCTATACCACCTTATATCTTATCATCGCTGTTCATCTACTTTTGTAAATATTTATAATTGCCTACTTATATTCCCATTAGTTTAATCAGTTTGTAGATGTATTTATTCATCCTGGTCCTTTTTTTCTAGTTCTGAAATTTTTAATATCATAGCTAATCAGTCATCCGTCTTGTAACATGATAGATGATTCTAACAATACCAATTCCCTGGAGTGACACACGTATTTGTGCTTAAGAAATGTTAAACCTTAATTACTTATCAGATTCACTAGGAGTAATGCAGCTGGGTTGCCAGATTGCCTGGAATTGCAGCTTAACACCAAGTAGAGAGCTAGAAAAATTAATCAGTTGAAGATTGAATAATGCTACGAATTTAAAGTCTGTCCTTCAGCTCTTCGTTTTCTGAGCTGAACTAAAACATGAGCAAGCGTTGTGATATTGTCAACCTCAATGTTGGTGGTCGAAAGTACACATGTAGTTCAGATTACACTGCCATTTTACAGGTTTTCTACTTCCCGCAATACACTTTTGTGGAACAAAAACTCATTTTTCAGCATGTAAACTACCGGTTACTGTAGTTCTTACCTTTTAGATTACTTGATGGTGCCTTGCCTACACTAAGAGATGAATCAGGGGCTGTATGTTTCTTTGATGCTAATCTGAGTTCATTAGATATTCATAGATAGAGATCCAGATATGTTCAGTGTCATTCTCAACTACCTACGAACTAGTGAGGTCAATCTTAATGGTGTAGATATTAATTCACTCAAGAACGAAGCTCAGTTTTACGCGCTGGACTCTCTAGGTATATAAAACTCAGTTTGGAAACCTTTGATTTTAGTTAAGAAACTATCTTTATGTGAAGAAAATCTTCTAGGCAAATGTGGAGACCTACTGTTCCATGCTTACATGCCCTCACCAGGTACGTTCTAATTCTAGATATATCAGAATTATTAGAATAAAAGACTCGTTTCACTTTGCACGTTTTAACAAGTAATTTTTATGTAGGTTTTCGACAAACATTTTAGATGAGTAATGTGTTGAGTTTGTGACTTTAGTTTAAGCTTCACCTTGTTAGCAAAAATTCCTGTAATTTAAATTAGTTATCTCCCCAACTTCATCTATCTAACCGTATTATGTCGGTATCCGGCAGAGATAATGAGTTTGACCTTATATTCACCGTCTTTCATCTTATATATTGATAGATATTGGTAGATTTTTTGTTCATAAGTAGCATCGAAGAACCTATTCACTATCTTACCTACTTTCGTCAGAACGAATAAGTACCATCACTAATCCTTAAAATAATAACTAAAATGCGAGTGTATAAGCATGTACTTAGGCTTCCAAGTCAATGAAACAAACTGTATTGACGTCGTGATTGGCAATACGTACGAGCATTAGTCATGGATATCTGTCACTTAGACTAATAAGTTCGGGTTCTTTAGATGTTGCATTCACACTCAGAAAATTTGAAACCCGTCAGCAGGGTAGGAGATAGAGCATTCATTTTATCCTCTGTGCTTTTTCGCGTTCCTCTGTTGTTATTCCAACTTTGTTTATTACTGTTTGATGCGTTGAAGCGTCCCTTAGGTTTCTGACGTCTAGTATTCAAGTAATTCCATTTACCTATATGTGTGATGGTTCGGGTTCAGTCGTACTAGTCTCGTCCATCACGTGACAGGAGAAGTAATCTTTTAAATCATTGTTTATTTGCGGATGGTCGCAATTGTTCTCAGCTACTTAACAATAATCCAACCACCAATCCTGTAATCATGTCATCACCGTCTAACTGGACGCTACCTTTTGTTAGGGATTACCATGTTAGTCCGCCGGCCATTAAGACTAAGTTTTTGCAAACACTTTGTGTTCTAGATTACATTAGCTTCATTCAAATTTCCCGTAATTCGCCTTCACTAAAAGTCTTTTGGATTATTTAGTTCAAAATTCCAGTCTGGATGGAAACCAGTAAAGTATGAACATGATGCCCGGACTAATATCAAGTTTGCGAAATCAGTCCCCTTGTAAATGTGACAGATTATCGCCTAATATCAACCTCTAACCAGGCATTTCAGAGTGTCTGGAAGAGCCGTGGTTTGGTGGTTAACGCGTTCGACTTTCAACCACTAGGTATCAGGTTCGAGTCTCGTCGCGTCCACTTCGACCAGTTGGTATCATCAGCCTCTACATTTAGAGTTTGGCTGATACTCAAGTACCTGGTTAATGAGTTTATTTGATTTTAATTTATATCGGGGCGATTTGTTTACATATTTAAATAAGTATTGAGTTACGTTTTATGAAGTAAATAATTTTCTTGATATATCATCGTACTAACACTGACCACATATTCTATACCTAATACGTGACTCCCCCCATTGAGTGACCCCTGTTAATGTAAATTACATCAACTGTATATCTATTCATTCTAGCAAATAATCATCAGATTAGTTTCTAACTTCTTGGTGTATGGTTTGCAAAGATTTAGTATAAGTAATTATGCTTTAAAATATAAATCAAAAGCCACATTTTCTCTTTTTCTAGAATTCATATTGGATGAATCTGGGAAAAATTTCAGGTTTGTTTAATTTTTTTGTAAAACTGAAATTATTCACTTTGCCAAAGGTGTCTCGTTTTGTGCTTACATTCTTTTACTTTTGGGAATGGTTTTTCATAATACTTATTGAGTGACTGCAAAATCAAGAAGTTTATTCACCTCTTAAAGTTCAGTCAAGATCTAATTATCAGTTAGGTTTCGTTATTTAATTAGTAGAACACTAAACCAGTAATCTAATGACCACTATCAAATTTTGTCGCAATCCATGTTTTCTCCCAACTCTAGTCGTACTTTTAACAATCTGAACTGAATTGCACTATTTCGTATAAATACTTTGTTTAAAACAATGGTTTTGGTCTATTATATCTGTCCGTAATCATATTACTTCAGTGTATTCTGACCAAGGTGCCTCCTTGTACCAATATCTATGTGTTAAAATACATAAATAAAGAAGTTGTCTGGCGAAGCTCCGCAAATTTAAGGATTATAAATGTTATTGGTAGACAAAATCTTCGTTGTGTCCAATTTAGGGAGACATGGACATTATAAAATAGATTACACTCCATATAGCATGTATTATCAATGTAAACATGTTATTATCATCTTGTTCTGTAACTTGATAGTCTCTTAGGATTGTGTGAGCAAGCATTTTTTCACTATTTTCCTAATGGATGTCCAGTTTATCGAACAGAAGGAATATAGGAGACATATTCTGAAAATTATTAAAATCCCATCAAATTTTTTCTAAGCCTCTGAAACGTTACCTGCCACTCCCTGAGTTTTCGAAAATGTTGATGTCGGTAATTTTTTTAGTCATCAGTATAACTTTGAGAGATGTTGAGTGGACTTAAAGAATCCTAAATACCATGAAAAATAGTTCATAGATTTTCTTCAGAATTTCAAGGACGTCTACCTTCTGATACATACCATGATAATGACGTAAACAAATGTAATTTATTCTGAACACTATAATGACAATATCTTTCTGCTACAAAGTAGCGTCGTAATTACAGATTGGTACACTTGTTTTGTAATGACGTTTTCGTATTCTTCGTCCTTTTGTAGCTGTCACACAAAGTAAATCTTTCTTAACCGTTATATTACTGTATTCATGGTTACTGACTCGTTATCCCACATATCCGTAGGGAAGTAAAGGTTACACATACTACCTGTTATTTTATTAGTAGTGTAGCGAATACTACTTAAATTGGCAGATAAAAGTAGTATATAGCATCAGTCGGACGTGGAATGCATACCAGCAGAAGAGTGGAAAGATTCAATTGAAGAAAATAGAGGGGAAACAACAAGTAATTGTGACAACAATGGAATTAAAAGAATCATGAAGCATATAAAGGACAACTGATAGATGTGCAAATTATGTATTCAATGTATGGTTTTCGTATTTTATGAAGACATTGTAATTTTGCATTAAACAATAAATTGGTTTTCTCCACCTGAGTTATCGTTTACTACAGTAGGAGTAAAGTCATCATCTAGAGTGTGATCCTTCGCAGTAAATATTCACTTCCACAGGATTCCGTCCAAATTAATAGAAAAATCAAAGATTTACTAGAGTGATTTATAGAGTACTCTAAAATTTTAGGTGGATTAAGGGATCTACGACCATTCATATAAACCAGCAGTATGTTATGCAACTTTGTCAATAATGTCAATTTGATCATTGTTTGCAGTATGAACCTTTTAATTTTCATAGTGCACTTTTCAACTAGGTCTTTTCTTGGTGTACCACCGGAAATAAATGATCATTGAATACTCTACTATTTTCATGGCCTTGTCTTCTAAAATCTATTCTGTCGGCATTTGAAAATCGGTTTCGTAAGTTATCAGTTAGGCCACTTCAGTAAATCTCAGTATTTCACCGGACACCTCAGTCATCATGACAAGTTTCACATAGTTGTACTTACACTTGATATCATGTAATTGCTTATTTTGATTTAATTATTGGTTTTTTCCTTAATATAATGTGGAAAATGAATCAATGATAGTGTTAACTAGTGTAAATAGCAGTAGTTGTTACTGTTGTTGCTACATTCCAGGTGGGGTGCAAATAAAGACAGCCAATGTGGTAATCATTCTAGTCCTGGAAATAATGTAGGCCTACTGACTTACACCACTGCTAGTTTATCTATGAAAAAAAACTCGAGTGCAATGATAAAAGGCTCCGAAAATTTGCAACATACAATAAAGAATTCACCGATTAAGACACAGATGACTAATTCGTTGCGTGATGCTTCTAACTGTGGTACAAACAGAACTAAAGAGTAAGTTCAATTGATATATATATATATATATATATATATATATATATATATATATATACTTGAAATTTCATTAATTGATAGTCACCTTTAATTTCAAGTCCCTATTATTCATAAAACGTGCTTTTGACTGTTTATTAATTCCTAGAATTATGTTAAGTGAAACATACTAGTATAAATTCTAACCCAGTACTGTATCGTTTTGAGTTATTGCACTTCACAAATAGCTCAGAAAGATAATTTTTTTGTAGAGTGTAATGAGCAGAAGTTGGATCCCAAAACAAATTGAGAAAGCATGATAACGTAATACAAATTCATAAACATTGTACAATGAAGAACGGATATATATGGTACGATGGGTTAGCTCTCAAATTTTATTTTCATTCCTTTTTTACGTAGTAGATGGATAATGTGATTTGGACTTTACTACCTTACTTTTATGCTTCTTCGGTTAGTGAGTCGAGCTGGATGTTAGCTTTCGCCTCATAAAATAAGATTTAACCAAGTTGAAGGTTCAAATTTTTCATTCTCATCATCTGGCAAACTTATTTTAAATAAAGATTTCTTTTTACTTTCTGGTCCAACTATCCTCGAAAGTTGGATTGAAAACATCGTAAAGCTGCAAATATCTTATGTTTTTTTTTCAACGGCCATTAAGTAGGGGAAACTTCATCACTGAAACACACACATATATTGTTAAAAATTGAGATATTTCATTTACACTACAAGCTGCGTAGTTCTATGATTGGAAAATTGGTGCCTTTTAGTTGTCCCAAGATTTTGTTGATCATCAACCTAATAATGTCTAGGTGACAGTTCATTCAACTATTGGGGTAATAAACCGATAAAAATCAATCGTTAAACGACATTCCATATATTTTTACGACATAACAAATATTCTGGTAAATGGATGTCTAAAAACTGTACTTTCCATCGTCTTCATTTGATAAGGCTATGCTTTACTTCGGTTTGATCATGTTTAAAAAACCTAAGTTTTAAAAAGTTTATCTTTGATTATAGGCACCTCATATGGACACTAGTTGGCTTAATTAGGTGACATATGGGTTCAGACATTCATGTGATTAACATCCATAGGATAGACTATTTAATTTTACATTCCATTTCATTTTAGTTTTCACTTTATTCTAGTTAATTAGATCGAGCCTAAACTTTGATTTTAAAGAACTAACTATTTCACTATCTTTATGAAAGATCTAGTTTGACAATTGAATAGGTAAGCATGAGTATTGATGGTCACTCCACCAGTTCCTCCTTGTATGGACTGTCAGAGCTATCATCTTCAAGACAACCAAAAAGAGCCCTTCTAGTTGTAAGCATTAAAGCAAATACATGTGTACATAACCTGCTTGAATAGAAGATATTCGTCTTTTATCAGTGTATTTCATCTTCTAATTTTTAAAGATAAGTCTTCTCATTATTTTTATTGAATCTTCCCGTTCTCATCACTTTAGTAACGGAAATACATCTAAGCATGACTATCTACCCGACTGTCCTACACAAAAAATTCTTGACGAGTCAATGGCAAGTGCGTCGAATCCAGTTAATCAATCAACTAGTCAGGATTTTGAAAGTAATAATTTACACTCAGCCAATCCCGAGTTGCATCATAAACCTGTAACCTTACTTGTTTGTCATCAAAGCATAATGGCTGCTGCTTACTCCGATTGTGTAGGTGTATTCTCGTAAGTTATTTACATGTTTATTCTGAGTCTTAGTACTTGATCTTGTACTTTTTGTCACTCGTTAAGTGATCTTTTCGATATTTTGTACGAATTTCTGATTCTTATTCGCTTTCAACTTGTGATATACATTGCCGAACAATTTAATATATCACAGGTTGAAATCATGAGTCAGTTGAAGCTAGACCACCATTGAAAACCTGGAAGCACTGGATGGCCGTTTCGTCCTGGTATGGGACTCCTCAACAGTGCGCATCCAGTGCTTCCAGGTTTTCAGTGGTGGTCTAGCTTCAACTGACTGATGATTTCAACCTGTGAAATTTCTAAAACTCTCCACAAAACCCATTCTGATAATAATAATCAACTGCTCACTAGTGGCTGACTTCAGGAAAAACTCCTGGAGTTCTAGTGAGAAGCCGTTACCAGTGGAGTTCAACCGGTCTGTTGTGAGATAACAACTCACTGAAGACAATGGTGTACGGTGGCGCAACTTCGTGGATTGGTTGAAGTTAGACATTAACACCGTTGGATGCCGGCTCAGTGGTCTAGTGGTTAAGTGCTCGCGCGCGAAGCTTGTAGGTCCCGGGTTCGAGCCCCGCGTGGTGCGGGATCGTGGATGCGCACTGCTGAGGAGTCCCATACTAGGACGAAACGGCCGTCCAGTGCTTCCAGGTTTTCAATGGTGGTCTAGCTTCAACTGACTGATGATTTCAACCTGTGAAATTTCTAAAACTCTCCACAAAACCCATTCTGATAATTTAATATATGTTTACTCCCTTAATGTCTTAGAATACATTAAATGAGCTAAATAGTCGGAGTATTACATTCTGTTCCTGGTTTTTTTCCAAAGACAGTGTAAGTTTTTGTAATTTACTACAACTGGAATGGACTGAACGGTTAGTTGGACATAATGTTCAAACATATTCACACCATCATGAATCATTCAATATCTAACCAGAATTAATTGTTAAGAAGAATAAACAATGAAAGAGCTCATCTGTTGTTAATGTCGTTAAGGAAAAAAGGTAAATTTATGGGTATTATTTGATGTGATTTCAAGAATCCGTCACTCCTGTTGACTAGAAACTTACTTGAAATGATTTTTATACTGTCTGTATAAATGAAACTCTCAGAGAAAGGAAAAAAGTACACTTTTATTGGTAAGTCCTAATTGAACATATAAGACTATGACTTGGACAGAAACGTATAGTCTTAAATTGGGTAGATGGAGTCGTTGCCCAGTGGTTACGGGATGAAGTTTTTAACTACTAGGCGATAGTTCTGAAGCTCGGTAGCACTACTAGTGTGGTGCATATTACTTATGTGGACAGGCAGAAGTAGTATGTAACACCAATCAGAAGTGGAATGCCGGACAGCAGAAGTTTGAAAAGATCGAACTGAGGAGAACAGGGATGTGAACGGAGAGTAATTGTAATAAAACAGGAATGAAGAAACAATGAAGTTTGTAAGAGACAATTGATGGAAGATGTGCACATGAAGTACTTAATGTATGGTTTTTATACTTTATAAAAACATTCTGTAATTTTTCATTAAACAATAGATTGGTCTTCCCCACCTGAGTGTTCGTTCATTACACTAGTATTCAGACTTAGAGTACGGCACAAAGTCAAGTACACAGATCCATGCCTGATAAATGAGTTATATTAAACAGTTTAATAAAACTGATTTAATGGTTTGTATAGTTACTTGCTGACTATTGACTCATGTGTAAACATATCTTACTCACTTTGAATAGAAACCATTGTCACTAGTTATTACAAAACGAATCAACCGTTTTTTTTTGTTATATGAAATACTTTGTGCTGAGAATTCTATTTTGTACCAAAAATATAACACTGAATAACGCCATTAATAATAATAATAATAATAATAATAATAATAATAATAATAATAATAATAATAATAATAATAATAATAATAAGGTTGTTTTCTAACTCAACAATAGTTATGGGAATTACCAGAAGTTAAAATCTCTTATATTATAATCAAGTATGGTCGTAATAATTCCATTCGTACATGATTTATCATCCGACAGATGAATGTAACTGAAAACCGGATGTCATTGTTCTATCAAAAAGATGAGAATGGCGGAATGTGTATGTCTTGTGTAAATGTATTCATAAAATATACATTGTCCTCTACATATTATCCGGTATTGTTTTATTGAATTCTGTCTTCATTTTATTCACGTAGGTTAAAAGATCCTATTGGTTGGCATTTAACATGGTTAAGTCCTATCTTGCCAGGACCGATTGATCGAATTGCTCTTACTGGAAAAGCACCGAACCAAAACAGTTTCAGTCCTAATCCTACTCAACCTGGAATAACAACCACATCTCTATTCCCTTTAAATGCTACAGTGAACTCATCAAATATAAATCCAGTTGGGAGTAATTCAACAAACGTTAGTATAAGCAATAATGGTAATAATAATAATAATTCGAATGGCTTTAATCAACCATTGTCGAATAATGTCATGAATTCAAGTTTCAATACAAGTTCTAACTTTCCTACTAATTTACCCTCACAGAATACATCATCACAATGCAATCAGGCTTCTATATCTGGGCCGAATAATTTGCCTTCCGTGATAAACTCATCTTCATCTAGTTGTGGAGGATGTACATTAGCTGTAGCTGTTGGATCAACTATTAGACTGTGGTATTTATATCCACCATCGGGATTAATCTCTGCAGTTGTCTCATATGCTGGTACATATGGAGTAACTACATCACCTGCTACTTATTTTCTCTCTCCATTATACCCATTCATGCCTATGCAAGATGTAAAAAGCTTGGATAATTATCCACCGTTAGCTAAAATTAAAGAACCTTGGACTTGTGAAATGGTAAATGAATATTTTATCAAATAACAAATGTCTGTGTTTTTAGTTCCGGTTATTTGTTCTGTGATCTTTTACAAATTTTCATTATTAGTACTAAATGGCAAAATTATTCGTTATTTGATTTAGAAAAAAATGGTTGCTGCACACCTAATTCTCAAAAGGCGTTCACTAATGGCTTTTTTATTATCCTTTTTGAAAATGAAAGTTCTGTATATTGTCACCAATTTTTTCAGAAACTTTCTCTTTTTAACTTTTGTTATTGTTAAAGGTTGGTCAATATGATTTAAATAGACGTTCAGTAGATTATTTATTATTTATTGGTGCTCATCTCGTCGCACTCAGTCGATATGGTTTAGTTGGTGTACGACATGTAATGACTAATGCATGGCAAGTAAGTTTTAGTTATACATATTTGCATTAAAATGTACTGTGTTTTGAGATTACATATAAGTTTCATTCTGTTCTATAGTCTGCTGTCATCTGAGTTTGATACTGACGTACGTGCTTCTTACATTCGAGCTCAATTTGCTAGTTGACTGGGAAAACCAAGAGTGAGCAGAAAGCTTTTATTGGCTGATCGGATCAAAAATATACGCGTAACTCACAAGTGTCGACACATGTCCGTCAAAAAATCAAGGCATATTTTCAGTCAATAGTGTACATTTGTCCCTTTAGAAAATGAGGTTAAATCTTGTTCACTAGCATGCACCCATCAGCATCTCTCACATATCATTTAACCTATGACTGATTTGGCCAACGTATAACATTCGTTCTAAATTTCCCCTAAAATTGTTAGAATCTAACTGTATGAAATTGCATTTCTTCTCTAACTTCTCATCAATAAACATACTGTCTTATTTTTCGCAGATTTTCAATCCGTGACTTCCCTCTTTCTAAAATGTAGTTAACAAAAATCTTTGTCAACCTTTTACAACCCTCTGTGTCAATTGAGGTACATCAGTTTTAGGGTGTATTTATTAAAATATTTCGATTCAGCATTTATCGTAGACTGAACTGAATATAGGAAAAATATGAAATAGTTGTCTAGCTAGCTCAGTTTCTGATGCAATCTATGAAAATTCAGCAACCGCCACAAACATTCTATACTAATTATAATCATGTACTCTTTAGTAACTAACTTCGAAGTGCAATTCTAGGAGTTCTATCGTGAAGCTGGGACCAGTAGAGTTCAGTCATATCAGATGTGAGACAGTTATGTACCACAGACAACGGAAGATGGTTGTGGAATATCTTAGGTTGATTGAAGTTAGGTACGTACACCATTCAATGAGAATTGAATGATCTAGAAAATAAGTATTTGTAAGACTAAAGGTCCTGGATTCGATTCTCTTTAGCGGGTTCATGTGTGCACCCTACTAGTGAATTCCATACTAGGAAGGAACGACTCCAGTGCGTCCTAGTTTTTAATAGTTGTCCAGTCCTTGATGTAAACATTCAACAATCTTCACAAATCTCCTATACTAAAAAGGATTTTATTTTGAAAGTTACTCTCATATCCGTTACAAAGTGAATTAACTAGAAATTAAAACTTTAAGCAGTCACCGGTTTTTAAAAACTGACAACCTAGTTTCCAATCGATTAAAATCGTTTTAATCATTGTCCGTGTTTGTGATATGTGGTAGTGAAAGTAAAATATGGTTGGTCACTGAGCGTGGACAATCAGGCACTTGGCCTACTGAATTGTAAATATATGATTTCCTTTCTTCTGCTCTGAACTTACTGAATGTGACTGCTTGTACTGTGCTGGGTAAAGTATCATCTAATGTTAATCTGGTTCTCTATTCTCGGTCGTGAATCCTAGATTTCATGTAACGTGACTAGTCTCATTATCGTATTAATGTATCATAGTAGTATATCTGAAAGAGAGAATATTTTAAGCCATCTATTATATCAGTTTGTATGGTGAAATAGTAACTTATTAGTTAAAACATATAGTTTCCAACCTATAGGTCACAAGTTCATCCCCCCTGTTTAAGAGAAGAGTTTAATTACTGATTTCTAATCAGTTACGTACATAGTTGCCTATATGAACATTCTATAATTACATATAATTGTGAGAAAGACACATTAGTCTCAAAATTATTTTTATATTATTTCAATTATCTATTTCATATATTTTAGGTATGGAGTACTGTCCCTATATTGAGCTATGCTGTTGCCGGTTCTGAGTTGTTACTTTTAGGCTGTGCAAGCGGATGTATATGCAGTATAAGTAAGTTGTGGTGTTTTTTGAAAGTATGTCTGACTTCCAATGTAAACAATGCAATGCATCTTGTTCTTACTAGTTATTTACCGAATTCTTTATAAAATCCATCCATGATACCTCTGGGACGAGAACCAAACAAATACCACTATCAAGTATATATGCATTGATACAAAGGATGGATTTAAATTTTTTTTTCTCTCTTGCACAAGATATTACCATATTACGACAATACAATGATAAGACTAGTCTGGATGACCGAGTTAATACCACTGCTAGATTGGATACTCTTACAATCGGCTATACACAAACACTAGATCAGATGTGCAATGTACAACCAAAATAGAGAATCAGAGTAACTCTACACAATACTTTATTCCACACAATTACGAGTAGTCGCACTCAGTGAGTTCGGAGAAGAAATCCATTGATAAGAAAGGGTATCACATATTTACTAGTCAGTAAGCTGAGTGCCTCTTTCTTCACACACTCAGTGACCAATCACATTTAATTTCACTACCACATATATATATATATATATATATATATATATATATATATATATATATATATATATATATATATATAGCCTTTTGATCTCAGGTTTGAACTCAATTCTCTACCACAGATTATTAGCTTCTGGGTAAAATTATTTAAACAATACGTTTGCATCACAAGTTACTACATAAATTTGTACCTTCTAATCACATCTACGGTACTTGTGAAATTTGTTTTTTGTATAAGCTTTGTTCAAGCATTAAACTGTTGCATTGGATATTTTAACTTTTCAATTTTGTTTCTATGCCTACAATATTTTTTTATATTTTGATGCAAATTACATGTTTATTTTACATTGTTTACTCCGGTAGATATACAAAAATTCCCTTTACGTATAGTAGATAATGATCTTTTAGTCACAGAAATGTATCGTGATCCATTACGTGATCCAATCACTGCTCTCAGTGTACATTTATCTCCAAAAACATGTAAGTGTTTCTGTTTTACTATTAATTAATTAATTAATTTGTTTCCATTGGTAAACGAAATATATGAGGCTTATCAGTTAAAAAGATTTAGTTATCATTCACTAGGTTATGAGTTTGAATCTCACTACACTTATTTTGTTTTGAACAGCCTGATAATATTAACAATGTTCAAATGAGAAAAATAGCGTAGTTCAAAACTAAGGACACAGGCCTTAATACGTCTTTTTTCTTTAACACCTAAACGTGAACTTCCTAATTGCTCTTTTCAGTTTCCAAAAATCTCTTGAATTCTGGAGAAAAAAAATCGAGATCAAGAAGTTTGAGAAAAGCTTTGATTCTTATAGCTAAAATAAAGGTATTGTTTATGATGTTGAAATTCCAGAAGCTTCTTGAAATCATGCTAAACTTGCTAACGAAGTCAGTAATTGTCCAGTTAGATAAAGACAACAAGATCCATCATTTTTTAGAATACCCTTGGAAGCTCATAAAGAACGATTAAGAATTCTAAACTTTATCTTATAGTGATATTAAAAATAGTGAAATTTCATGATAATCCTCGAATCTTATGAACAATAAAATATCCTCCCACGACCAATCACCTCGATATTCGTTGACTGATATCTTTCTTCTTCAATCACTTTTTAATTGAGCTTAATACTTAAGAATCTAATATCATTGGTTGTCTTATGACATTAGCCTTGACCTTAACCCAGTATTTATTCAAAAACTTGGGTTTGATCATGCTCATTTATCTGTTATACTTGATTTTGCCAAACTAATTCAACGAATAGAAGAATCGTAGAAAGTGTAAACCAGTTCTTGACTTACCATCTTTTCAGGAAATCTAAAACGATAAATATTTTCTCAGGTTAACCTGAAATCTACTACCTAGTCAGTGGTGAAAGTGTAAATTATTTTAAAATGGATTTAGGAATTAAAGTTAAGGATTTCATCATTAATGGACATCGAATATGGTAACAGAATCTTAAACTCTATATTCTATCAGCCTAATCTTATCATAGTAATTCATTTATATCTACTATCTGCTGATTAGTTAAATGGATTATAATCTCAAGGTCATCGAGTGATATATATTTCAAATATACCATTTTTTACGAAAATTTGTCATTTGTCAGTCAGTCAGCTACAACGTGGGACCAGGCATATATATGCATCGGTCCAAGTTGCCATTACTTCATTAGCACAACAAGATGAACACCAAATACATAGAAGTAGATAGTTCAATGATAGTAATATATAAAAGAAAGATTGCATATAAGGATATAGTACAAGAAAAAAAATTAGTTGGTAGGAATAAAGATATAAAGTAATTTTAATCTCATAGTTTAAGGGAAGACAGAGTGTATATACACCTACGCCATTGTGATCGATTCTGAGCTATATCACCCCGAGTCCCCAACCATCAGTTACGATAGGTACACGGACCCAACCAAGTAGTTTGTATCTACCAACATGACTCGGACCAGAAGATAATGACTTCAAGCACTGATGCCACGTTTTGGTTTGGCCGCCCCTAACTTTCTTCCAACCATCCCCTACACTAGTCATCATTGTGCGTCGTGGTAATCGGTGTTCAGGCATACGTAACACGTGACCCAACCATCTCAGTCGATGCCTTGTATCAATGTTTATGTATTTAAATAAAGTAAAATAAAGAGACCATCTAATAGTTAGGCCTTTTTAAAACATAATCTTTTATTGACAACGGGTTTCTTTTAATGATGAGTTTGTAAATTGTGTTGAATAGGATACTTTTTTAAAATAATGAACATATAATTGTCTGAATCGCTAAGATTTAATCGACTATCTTAAGTAAATCATTAATTTCTGGTATTAGTTTATCTGAAGACAATTTCATTAGTACTTCAAATATTAAGAAAATTATCGTTACAGAAACTTGATAAGTTAAGATAGTTAGGTAAGTAGATCATTGCCTATCTCATTGCTAATTAATTTGCAGCATGGGGCCAGTAGTCGGATTTTTCTCCTCTAATTTCAAATCAATATATGCGACAAGTTATTTTTTGAGGTTTTATAGTCTGTATCAACCCATTTCATGGTAGATTCTAGTTCCGATTAAGTTGTATAGTTATTTAATATTAGCATACGGAATTGTGGAGATTGTAGTAATTTAACAGTTGAATTCACGAGTCGATATAAGATAGACCATCATCGTAGACCTGAGAGTAATGGACGGCCGTTTCGTTCTACAATCTCCAAAGATCCCCATACTACTAATAATCATATGCTCACTGGTGACTAGCTTCAAGATGGATTTCCTGGAGTCTTATTGAGAAGCCGTGACTAGTGGAGTCCAATCCGTGTCGGGTATGAGGCAGTGATCCACTGCAGGCAATGGACGAAAGTTTTCGCAAGACCTTGGATCGACCTAAGTTAGACATTACCACGTGTGCCGGCTCAGTGGTCTATAGGTTGTGTTCACGCGCGAGACCAAGTGTCCTGTGTTCGGGATCGTGTTTGCTCACCAATGAGGAGTCGCATACTAGGAAGAAACGGCCGTCCAGTTCTTACAGGCTTAGTTAATTAATAGTTTCGAGTTTCTACTACAAACAGTATTTGAGTACTACTAAAAGTTATGTTAGTTCGCCTCACAGACTGTTACCATTTAAGTGGGAGAAAATTATTTCGGATGTGTCTATCATTCGTTCCATTAATTAATAATACAGGTCCATCTCTTCATATAGTCTTCTGAAAACTACTCTTTATTTTAAGAGTGAAAACTTGTTTATTTTTCATCACGAGGATGAAATTGGTAATCTGAAATAATAATACTTTGTCTAGTCTAGCGACTAATATGTGCTGCGACTCAGTGGTTTAGTTTTGTGAATTAATCCACCTACTTTGGTGAGGTCACCTTTATGGCATTATTAACCTTCAAACAGTATAGTTTTGGTTGTTTTTTCAATGAACTGGGCCTGATTATTGAGAAATAGTAGTTCATTATTTACCCAGTTTATCAGCCATGAATGTGTGTATCGAATCTTAGAAATTTTTTGAAAATATTTTACAACTTCTTCCAAATTTAATCAAATCCTAAGTCGTAACTCAAAATGAAGGTTTGTAAATACTATAAATATAATTGTTACTCAAACTATTGACCACATGACTGCTGGTACACAAGGTTCAATCCCAATTAGAGTTTGACTGTTGTAAATTGAACCGTATACCTATAAAAATGTAAATAACTCTTCAAACTACTATTATTTCATTACAGTAGTGTATCAAATACTGCATAAATATTCCATGCCTAGGTGAAAGGCAATATTACTTAATAAACATAAACCCATTTATTTATTAGCTAATAAATAAAATACTAATGAAAACTAAAATTTCAGTAATTTCCTTCTCAACTGAATTAGTTGGTCGACAGAAATAGAAAAATCCACTTTGATTTATTGTCACTATCGTAATCTCGTTATGGCTTTATTTGAGTCGAATTTTCTAATTGTGCTGTAGGTTTAAGTAATTCAGAATACATTGTGTTAACAAGATAGAATATGATTTGCTTCGCCTCCTTTCTTAGTCAAAAAGTGTACTAAGAAGCTTTCAATTTGGTGTACCATGGATGAATGTTTCCGTCCAGTTTTTTGTGCATCCGTGAATAACTAATGTTCCAACCAGTATCTAAGTTAACTCCCTCTTCATTTGTTGTTGGATTTTATATTATATGGTATGTACCCACTCATTTGTAATGACATCAAACCAGATGCATTAATGGGATAAATATATATGCATTTCATTGAAGCTTATTCAAGCCGTAATTGGATGGAAATTGCCTATGGTACATTATCTGGTCGTGTATGCCTAATAGTTCAACATCCAGAAACGGTTGGTTACAGTCCTCAATTGTTTCAAACTTTTAATGTTCATCGGTCAATGGTTACACGTGTTGTATTATCAGAGAAATATTTGATCTCAGGTACTTCTTTTATTATAATAAATAAATTACATTTTGTAATGTTAATTATAATAAATATTATTAAAAGAGCAAGAACAAACATTCTAGCAGAATAGTATGAATTCATTTTATTTCATCGGTTCTCATCAGCTGCTTACAACCTGTGATATTGAAAATCATAATTACATAATGAGTTTAAATTACTTACATGAGAGGGTTTCATTGGAAGTTATATTGAAGACATACTAGTATAGTATAGTAAAGGTGAAAATAAATTGAATGGACTGAATATTGTAAATATATATTCCTTATGTGAAAGAACATTCTACAACATTGATTGTGACAACAGTTCAAACGGCTAGAAACAAGTGATTACATAATGAGTAAATATTGATAAGAATATAATGAGTGGTGCTTAGTTGATAAAACAAGATTATTAATTTGAAAGATAGTTGAAATATAACTCAATGATGTAATAAATGCAGGAAAGAGTTAAAAAATAAAAATAATTTTAAGATGCAGCGAAGGAATATTAGTCACCAAGGCAAGGAAAGATTAATAACCATCTCCTTTTGACCATATAAGTCAGATTTTTGATGCCCTGATAGCAACGGCTTCAGCAAACTTCAGAAGACTGGAGTTTGGCTGCTTACTGATCATCTTGAATAGTTGCAAGAAGATGTTTGGTGATTGCACTGTTTAGAGTATTTCTTTCTCTTGTTCTGAGGCTTTCTGGAACATGTTAAAATTAAATTTATATCCATCCTTACTATACTGTACTGACATGTCTTCAGTATAACTTCTAACCAAACCTCTCATGTAAGTAATTTAAACCCATTATATGATTATGATTTTAAGTATCACAGGTTGTAGGCAGATGACCAGAACCAACGAAATAAAATGAATTCATACTATTCTGCCAGAATGTTTGTTCTTCCTCTTTTCAAAATGATAAAGGGAACTATGTGTATGAAATATTATTAAATGAAATTCGAATTCATTTTAATTTATTGTTCTGGAATTTGCAAATTATTTATTTATTTATTTGAACACATAAATATTGGTACAAGAGTGCACCAAATATATATGCGCCACACACATTTGTGTGTGGGCTGTGATACTGCAGTCCCATGGTAGCCGGTGACCGAAAATTTGTTCATACTCCATTTGTTCCCGCAGGATACTGGAGCCCATGTGCACCATTGATTTGGTTTGGGATTCGGTTAAAGCGCCGGACATTCGCTTTCCGTCCTCTCATTTTCGTAAACAACAGTAATGCCACGAGAAGGCAGTGAGTAGGAATTCCCTGGCAGAGGCTGTATACGCGTGGCCGTATGAGAGTATTTCGAGAGGGAGGGCGAACCCACCCGGCTCTCGGCCATACCAGGGCATTTGGGGGCTAATTCAGTGATCTAAATGTATAGAATTCTTATTATTAAATTTACTTTCATCATGTAAGAAGGTTTCTATCAATTAGAGACAACGACCTAGTTGAAATCAAGACCTAGCACACTAATTCATAAACTCATTACTATTATTATTTCAATTCACTTGAAAAGATGTATATTTTCGTTTAGTGAAATATACGTAAATACATATATTCATCAAAATTGCTCAAATATTGATCACAAACAGTAATGGATAATGAACGAAAACGAATCAGGGAGAAGAAGAATTGACTTTAAATAATGATACTAGGCTTACTGAAATGATTACAGATTTATTAACTTTTAATTCAATATCTTTGTTTACGTTTACATCTTTGTTTGTTAGTTTGTTTTGATTAATGCTTGGATTAACAGTTCCGTTCATATCAATTTTTTATAGATATGTTTATTGCAGATTGTTTTCCTGAGTGTATGTATGAATTAGATCCATTAAGCTAGTCAGGGAAGATAAGCTTACAAGATTTGGCCTGATTTTCTAAAGTCAGTCAGTAACAACGTAGAACTTCGTACGTACATATATCAGTTCGAGTTACCATATCACATTTGAACAGAGATGCAGTTGTCGATTCAAATCTCATAGTGATAGAGGTAGTAAGAGTATAAGCAGTAATCGGAAACATTATGGTTTGAAGATGTTATTCAAGGAGTATAATCCAGTGAAATAAATTTAGAAAGGGGAAAAAAGTCATGAAGAATTCAGAAGATTAGAATTTGTGAGAACACCATTGGTTAAAGATGTAGCTTAATTTTCTAAGCGAGTAAGATGTATATTCATCAGTATGTACATATATTCTCAATTTGGTTCTCTTCTCCCTCTTGGTCTTCTTACGCTTGCTTACTTCAGATAAGTAATGTTTTTACATCGAAATTTTCCTTTTTTTCTAGTGTGCAATGAATTTCATCACGTCCGTACATGGAAGGTGACACGTTTCCGTGGAATTATCAGTACACAACCGAGTTCCACACCCGTAGGTTCATTTCATATGACTATACTGGATACAAATAATGCCACACAACAATTAGTCGATTGTATTTTAGAAGCTGCTCAAAAATGTCACAAACAAAATTTGAATTCAGCAACACAGAATGAAATAGTTCGAGCTCATTCTGTCCTTGGCACTAATTTATCACGTAATAATAATAATAATAATAATAATGATAATAATAATAATAATAATAATAATAATGATAATACAGTTAATGATACATCGAATCGTATCAATCCCTTATCTTACAATTCGTCCCACCGGCATCCACATGGTTCAAATTCACGTTCATCTAGTGCTCAAGGTGTTTCGCATGATTTATTGACTTCTCCATCAACATCCTCACCATTATCGTCATCTCAATCTGATACTCACCAGCAAAATAATTTCAACGCCAATATGTCAGCTGTTTGTTCATCGAATAGACTTCAGTCACTTGATATATCATCAAATATAATTCAATCGAATTCGTCTAATGCTCTTAGATCAAATCTAGGTAATGAAGCAGAAGGATTTGGTGATATGTTTGCAAATACACAATCAGATATCGTTGTTCTTCCACGTACAACATGGCTTCATGAAGATGCCTCTGGGTAATCCATTTTTATATATCACGTGATATATTTTAATTCTTTGTTAGTATATACATATGAGCATTTTAGAAATATAAAAGTAACTAACAGATACTTACTACAATGATTCTCCAAGCCTTAGTGTTGATCTAATTCTATCTATCTGTCAATGTTCTGTTAACAATTCCGAACTTTTCAACTTTATGTGACACTACATTTACTTTTGAATTTCTTGCTATTCACCTTAAACAATTAACTTTAAATGAATTCATTATATTCCAATATGTATACATTTGTTGTGTACAAAATATCACGGCAAAAACGATCGAACTCAAAGAAGAGTAGTTTAAATACTATGATCCAAAAAAGACATAATGTACATGAGTATGGAAAATATCAACTACAGGATAATCCAAATCAGTACCAATTAAATTAAATTCCATATCCGTTGCATAATTGAATAACTGTCTAAACTCAATCGTTAATTGGATGACGCGATGGCATTTAAAACGAAATGTATTGAGTCCGAGTCCCAAACTGGAAATCAGTTCAGAGTTACAGGTACATCTAGCTGATGAGTGATCGTTTAAAGGCTAAGGGTTTCCACACGAGACTAAACGTCTAGGATTCAATAACCTGTTGCGTAGCGTGAAAACACTACTAAGGAGTTCCATATTGGGATGAAACAGCCATCCAGTACTTTCAGATTTCCAATGGTGGTTTAACTAAGTTCATTTCGTGATTTAGAAACTACTAAGAAACTAGTATTTCCTAATGTTATCTTTACTTCATTCACTCAGTTCATTTCTTTTCATATGACACAATAATGCTAAATGCATGCACACCTAATTCTGTCAATTTTAAACATGAAATTCATTTTTCATTGGCTCTGTCTGAACATGTTCGGATGACTAAAATGCAAATATGACGAAAAATTCTTTCTTTTCGATTACCTTCATTTTATGGCTGTATACAAGTATATATAGTGCAGATCATTAGTTGATTTTCTGTATAACAGTATTAAAAGTTCAGAAGTATCTATAAAACCAATGACAGATTATTTAAGAAGTTAGATTTCCACATCTGGAGATGAATTTGGTTGTACAACCATCGAAAACCATAAAGCCATAGGCAGTTATTTCGTCGTAGTATAAGAGTCATCAACAAAGCCCATTCAAAATTTCACCAGAGATCAAATCCAAGAACTTCAGTCTTCGTGATGGAGCTTAATCTTCAGATCATTAATTTTGATACCTATTAGTTTGTATTTCGAACTCCAGCCAATTGATGATTTTTCGCCATTACCATCCATTATCATGGTTGATATCTATCTCACATCGGACATGGTTAAAATACACTGATCAGTGCTTGTCACTGTAGCTCTGAGAATCACCTCTGGAAACCAGTCTGTGTGAAGGATAATAAGTAAAGAGATAAATCTTAAAAGTCCATATATAATATTTTACAAAGGCCAAGAATAAGGCATGTATTAATGAATTTGACAATGTTATGTGTTAAAAATGGTGAACGTTTGCATCTGTTACGATATATATATATACTTCAAAAAAAATTGTAATATTTGCAAATTAGAAAGGTCATTCAATAAAGGTCAGTAAATTGTTCAGTCACAATAAGATAATATAATAGTACTATTGCAAAATTGAAAATAATTTTGTCAACTGAGATAATAATAATAATAATGTTGGTGAATATATAGTATAGGGGTGTTTCAAGGTAATTACGGTCACAAATTGGGAATGATGGGTAACATTTATCTAAGATTGGTGACTTAGTGGTCAAGGCGTTAGACTTTCAATCAAATTTCTGCCTTGAATTTCGTTTCACCTACTTTGGTTTAGTCAGTCTGGTAGCATCATTAGCCCTCACACTTAAAATGTGATTGATACTAAAATACCTAATGATTGTGTCGGTTTATTTACTTATATTTTATGTAAGAGATAATGACAGCACGAAAAGTTCAAAACGAGGGAGTAATGAATCATTTGTAAATCACAAGTGTATAGGCTATGTCGGTGACCAATTTTAGAAAATAGGTTTGATGAATTTCTTGTGAACAGGAATGTAAGGCTTGCTGAAATAAATGAAGGTGAATTTGGCCGCATTCCATCAAACAACGGTTTATGTACCAATATTAAATATTTTCAATGCTTTATATTAGCCTAATAATGTGTTATTTATGTGATGATACAATTCTTTTGTATTAGGTTACACAATCAATCCGATAATGAGTTGTGCAGTTCAAATGATCAAACTGATACAAATTCCTCGGAGAATAACCTCAATACTGTGACTAATACCAATACTATTGATAATGATGTTACTAACAATCATAATAGTAATCATCGAGCCAAAAATCGTTCATCATCTGCTTGTAGAGGTTTACAACAGTCTGTTCGACGTTATGATAATGAATGCACTAATTGTAATAATAATAATAATAATATCAGTATGAATAGTTGTAAAACTAGTAGCCAAAATAATAATACCTCTATTACTGATACTTCTACTAGTAATAATCATAATAGTACGCATAAACACATAATTCGTCCAATAATTGATGTGCATAAACATGCTAATAATCCTGGTCCATACGGCGAACGAGAAGATGTTTTGGTATTTGTACAAAAATTAACACCTCAAGCCAATCAGTTATTTGTACGTTTAGCTTCTACGGGTAAAAGGTGAGTTGTTTCGATTTTTTATGAGGGAGGTAAGAGGGGTGGGAGTTGTTATTTTTTGTGCTTCTTTAAAATGTATTTTATCGGAGATTTTGAGAATGCATTTTTGGGGTGGTCACCAGTATCTATTATCTTTTTTTAGAATTTATACTGAAAGCGAACCGAATTTTTGTATACAGCTATACATAATGCATTACATCTATTATCATGTTTCTTTTTTTATATTCATTTGTATTTGTCAAATAAGTTTATATGAGATTTCACAAACTTTTTTGACTATTTAATCTAATGGTGAGATTTCTCTAGTGATATAAGTAGTGGAACTAATATTTATCTCACTTAAATGATTCCTAGATTCCATCGGAATAGATTTTAAAACGACTTATATCAATCTGGGCCGTCTTTGGTGCCGTTAGTATTTTCCGTAAGTATCATCATTTCATTCTTTTTGTATTTCACCTCAGGTAGTGTGAGGGCACATAACCAACTCTCTCCATTCTTCCATTCAAGGAGTGTGGTTAGACAGGGTTGCCCAATCTCACCATTCCTCTTCAACTTTGCCATCGATGACATTCTGGAAACAGCTCTGATGGATGTAAGTAATGGTGGTGTGGATCTGTTGCCTGGAGAAAGACTTCTCGACTTTGAGTATACGGATGATATTGTCTTACTGTGCGATAAGCTCAAGCCATGCAATCCGCACTTAATCTGTTGGCAATCAGTGTCCGTAGGTATGGTATGTGCTTTGCACCTTTGAAATGTAAAGTACTTCTACAAGACTGGCAGGATTCTAATCCTGTACTCACTCTGAATGGTGAGCAGATAGAAGTAGTCGAGAAGTTCGTGTATCTGGGTAGCTGTATGAGTGCTGGTGGTGGTGTGAGTGATGAGATCAATGCACGTATAGGGAAAGCCAGAGCGGTTTATGCCAATCTGGGCCACCTTTGGCGCCTTCGTGATATTAGTCTGGCTGTTAAAGGTCAGATCTACAACGCTTCGGTGAGAGCAGTTTTGCTCTATGCTTGTGAAACCTGGCCTCTCCGAGTTGAGGATGTTAGACGACTCTCTGTGTTCGATTATCGCTGTCTCTGAAGGATTGCTGACATCGAATGGCAACACCATGTCATTAATGCAGAGGTTCAGCATCGTTTGTTCGGGCGCACAGACGATAATGCAATTGGTGTCACCATCTTGAAACATCGACTTTGGTGGCTTGGACATGTTGTACGAATGTCGTCCCAGAGAATTCCACGTCATGCATTGTTTGCCGACTCTGGGACTGATTGGAACAAGCGGAGAGGTGGTCAGTGTATGACATGGTGTCGTGGGATGAAAGAAAGCTGCAATGGGCTGGCTTGTGTTGGTCCTTGACGACTCCCTGACTGGGGTCCTACAGATGGTGCGACACAGTGACTAGAGACGTTACCAGATATGGCTGAGAATAGAAGCCAATGGCGATCTGTGGTCGTTATTGTTCTTTTCTTTGTCGCTCCTTACCTTCCTTTTTTTCCCTTCCCATTCTCATTGTTTTGTGTGGCCCATATATATTTGTCGCCCACTTGTACCAATATTTATGTTTTCAAATAAAATAAAATAATTAGTGCCGTTGTGGTATAAGTCTAGGTGTAAACGATCGTGTCTACAATGGGCCGGTCAGAGTAGTTTTGCTGTATGTTAGTAAAACCTGGCCTCTTCGGGTCGAAGATTTTCGGTGACCGATCTTCGATCCTAGAAGGATTGGTGGCATCCAGTGTGGACACTATGTTCATAGTGCTGAGATTTGGCAGTGTAAGAGTTTGGGTTCTGTGTCGACGGTAACTTAATCGGTGGCATCATCTTAAAACATCCTCTTCAGTAGCCTGGTCACATTTTACCAATAACATCCAACAGCTTTTAAATTGATTATTATTTTCCGACGCTGATACTGAAGGGATTGATCTCAGAGTTCATCAGTTCGTAACACGATGTCGAGGTGCGAAAGAAAGCTGTCTAAAACAATCATCTGCCGGTGACCATAACAACCTGGTTGTGGTCCCGGAAAATTTTTAACTCTACCAATTAGGAAACTACCATCCATGGCTTGGAATAGAAGAAAATAGTCTTCTTTTACACTCTTCATTTATTCCTCGTGAAATTTTAAAAAAAACATTCAGGGGTTGAATAACGAATTGACTGACTATATGAATATATATTAGAAGTTTGAAGCTATTAGTTTTGTACAAAATATCCAATTGTAAAAGTATGTAGTTCACAATACAATCAATCATTATCCAGTTCTCCTTGTTTTGTTATTATTTATTCTCATAATAAATTATCCTTTAATACTAGGGCACTGCTGATTAAGTATTTTCGCGCCACAACCAAATTAACAACAAAGTTTATTGAAATCTTCGTTTCCGATTCTTCATTAAACAGAAAAAAAGTTGACTTCTTAGATATATGTTTTTAACAATGTTTTTATTGAAGGTAGTTTAATCTTATCCGTATTCAGAATAAACACTTAAGCTTAGAAACATATTACCTCACGTTATATTTACTGGAATCAGTTAACTGATGTCGAATAAGTCGAAAGATTGGCTTGGCTTCTCAAAATATTTATATATAAATACTAAGTTGTTCTATAACAAATAAGAATAAGTTTGTAAGCAAAGATGACAATATCGGGGCAATACGCACAGTATGCACTTATACCATTAAGAAGTTGATCAATGGTAGTCCTAAACAACGACGAGAGGCTTCACGTAAACAATACCAAGTGAATAATAAATTTGTGTTAAACTTGCGTTCAAGACAATGAACGTGACAACAATAGTCGAATCTCAATTCATAAAAGCGTAGAAAGGACTGGTTCAATCTAGTTCAAAAGATAAAAAGTATATCAAACAATAACAAAAAACATTCTCGTATTGTTTGTTTGAATCTTCTAATTGATGTTTAGGACTGCAATTGTTCAGTCTCTTATTGGCATATATACATCCCGTGTGGATTGCCTTTATTCACAAGTATTGTAAGCAAAGATAGATGGTATCTGACAGTGGAATCCGGAACGCGCGTTCCATTTTATTTCGAACTCTTCAGCTGCATGAAACCCGTGTCCTGGATTCCACTGCTTGTCACCATCCATCTTTACTTACACTACGAAAACAGTTTGCAATACAATGAAGGAAATACATTTTAGTTACTCATAAGTAATATATAGTTATATATAGTAAAGAAATTCTAAAAGAAATAAATCTTTCGCTTTAGATTGAAAATGATGTGAGATCACAATAGGCTATAAATTTACTGAATTTATTTAATCACAAATTATAATTAATAGAAGAAAATTTAAAAGTCATTTGATTCAGAAATTGACTGGCTTAAAAAATATACTCTTGATAATATCAAGATTTCAACAGTTGAGATCATGAGTCAATTGAAACTAGACCACCATAGAAAACCTGGAAGCACTGAACGGCCGTTTCGTCAATTGACTCATGATCTCAACTGTTGAAATTACTAAAATCTCCACAGAGCCCCTTCTGATAATATCAAGATTGTTATTAATGCCTACATGTTAGATCCTCTGCTCGGTTATAGTCAATTACGAATAATTTCCGCCTCAACAATTGTATTTTGACAGATTGAAATCATGAGTCAATTGAAGCTAGACCACCATTGAAAACCTGGAAGCACTGGACGGCCGTTTCGTCCTAGTATGGGACTCCTCAACAGTGCGCATCCACGATCCCGCACCACGCGGGGCTCGAACCCAGGACCTACTGGCTTCGTGCGCGAGCACTTAACCATTAGACATTAACACCGTTGGATGCCGGCTCAGTGGTCTAGTGGTTAAATGCCAGTAGGTCCTGGGTTCGAGCCCCGCGTGGTGCGGGATCGTGGGTGCGCACTGCTGAGGAGTCCCATACTAGGACGAAACGGCCGTCCAGTGCTTCCAGGTTTTCAATGGTGGCCTAGCTTCAACTGACTCATGAGTTCAATCTGTGAAAATTTCTAAAAATCTCCACAAAACCCTTCTGATAATTGTATTTTGATTGAACCTTTACGTTTATGTAACAATAATTGATCACATGGAAATATATATATATATATATATATATATATATATATATATAGACATTAATAATCTCATTCTATGACATTTACCACACTATAGAGAGCTCTTATTATGAGAAGTTGTGAAACATTTACGAATTCATTCTCCATGACTAATTAGTTTAGGTTGTAATAAAGAGTTTATGAAAGGAAATGTTATTTATTTTTCTTCTTAACATCTCCCTTATTGACTTATTTATTTACTTTTCTTTAAAAAAATAATAAAGGATATGTGTTATTCACTCTGTTGATCGAAGTTCTATCACTTCGTTTACTGTACATGAACATGATGGATTTAATCGAGTTGGTGCTCATCCAAGACGATATATATTTACAGGTCATTCAAATGGTACGATTCAAGTAAGTGAAATCTATAATTTTTTGAGTTTAGTATTGAAAATTGGTTGATACTAGAAATTATTAACTATTAGATTCTAACTGAATGCTTTAAATGATTATGCGCTCATCAAAATATCCGGAAGTCTTGGAATCTATTTCATAATAGACTAGTGAATACTCATTAATGAATAATCTGACATTAGTACAAAATACCTTTTATGTCCTGTAGCCCATCATTTATTACGTGAAAAGATCTCCAATCAGAACATTGACTTATATGATCCTGTTTCTGTAGTAAATCAATGATTCGTTAGACATCACGAGAAGTTTTGAATCAACCATGAGTTCTTATTGGCTCTTTCCTCTTAGTCTTCCGTGTTGGGTACAGAACATAATCTCAGCTTCCACTGTATGAATCGTATATTTCAGATATACGCAGTTTATATACAAGCAAATCAGACCACAACTAATAAATCGAGAATATAATCTAGTTACTTAATAGTAACCCAATAAGAATATATGTAATAATAGTCCATAAATAATTCCTAGTAGTCACCATTCATTTATTCTTCGTTAGGATATAACAATACTTGTCTAGTGTGTCCTGATTTTCAAGTTGATATCGTTTACTGATGAACAGACCTTTTTCGTTTTTGTTATAACTTGTGACCTGTATGCCCTGTTAATGGATAATATAACGATACCGCCAATTAGAGAGCAGTGAATTATCGATCGGATCAATGAAGCGTAAAAACCATACGAGCAATCTAAATTCCTTATTGGTCCTACTCTCAGAACACCAATTTCAGCCTCTGTAATATGAATCATTTTATTTCAAGCATACTGGGTTTATATACCAACCAAACAGACCACAACGTACCATAAAATAGAAAATAACATTTGTACAAGAATTAGCCAAATGTGGCTGTGAATGTGGGAGGTAGTAATTAATAGACAAGGCATAATTCAAGAATGGTAAATCGTATAATAATAGTTTGTAGGTCAAAATAAAGCTCATAATAAGAGGAACACAAATATGAATAGTTTAGTTACTTAGCAATTATACGATAAAAATATACGCATATTATTAGTCTATAAATGGATCCCAAAAGGTATTATTCAATATTTTTATCGGGATATAACAATTTTTAAAACAAGTTTTTGTCTATGTTCTATCCACCTAAGCCCGGTTATCTTTGAATACGATATTTGTCTATTAAATTACGGTTTATTGGAATTCTGATTCAATTGGAAGTTAGTTTACATCATTGGATAATTATGGGGAAAAAAAACGAGACAACTATTTCATCTTAAGTTGTAGTCTTACGTTTGTGTTCACTTCACTCAAAAAATCTATTCGGTGTTGTGAACTTAAGACCTTTTTTAATTTTCAGTTAACTGATTTGACAGGAACTTGATTACGAGTGTGATGAGGGGCAATGACTCTATCCGGCTACCTAGATCAAAGTAGACGTGACCAGGTTTGAACCTGTGATATGATGCTTGAAAGTCGAACATGTTAACTACCAGACCACTGCTTTTGTACATTAAACAAAGAAAGATTAATGTTAACTTTTTTAGATCACATTTATTAATTGAAACTATTTTCTTTAAAATTGGTTAGTTATTTTTATTAACAGTTTTTATTAATATAGATTTTTTAAATGGCTGTTACATCAACACCTTACACTGTCAGTTATTGCCCCCAAATGCCCTAGTATGGCCGAGGGTGGGGAAAGTCAGCTCTTCCTCTCGAAATGCTCACACATGGCCTCGTGCATGCAACCACTGACAGGGAAGTCCTACTCACTGCATTCTCGGGGCATCACTGTTGTTTACGAAATTCAGAGGAAAAAAAGCGAATGTCCGGTGATTTAACCGAACTGGTGGAGATGCAGAATCCACCTAGGGTAATTGGAAAACCCTGATTCCAAATTAATGGTACACATGTGCTTCAGGATCCTGAGGAAACAAATGGAGTATGAACCAATCGTCAGTCACCACCCACCATGAGGTTGCATCTCCTTAGGTTGCTCCACTGCCTTGTGGATCAGACCTTTATGTCGAAGGCCCCGCGTGTAGCCCCCTAAGAGACCACCTGCTTCGGTTTGGGCACCTGGGCGGTATCCCAGCACTCACACAAATCGAATGATTTATGTGGCACATATGTATTCGGTGCCTCCTTGCACCAATGGCTATGTGTTCAAATAAATAAATCTCTCAGGTATTATGATCTGAAAACGTACTATTTAAATCTACTTACTAATCATGCAGTGCTATTGAAGATCTTAAGTGACATGATTCATTGTGTCGTAGGAGCATCTTTTCGTTTTACCCCTGTAGATTTAAAGAGCTTTACTTTTCATAAATATATTTCTCTGTTTCATTCGCTGTTTCACTTCCGAACATTAAATTTCTTGATTTTCTGAAAGAGTTTTATTAATTTCGAGTATAATCTTAATCAGAATTGTCCAACTTATTCCCTCCCCTCCGATTTTCAACAATTCTCCAGCTGTCCTCAATTCGTAATGGGAATTATCTTGGGAGTAGTTACATCGGAGAATATTATTTCTTCATTGTTAACTTGATCCCTGGCTGATACTACAGACTATTTTTGGTGCACTAACACTTTCTGACATCGCAAAGTGTTTAATTAAAAAATCTCCCTCCACTTTTTTGTGCTTAACCATAGGTTTGGGATTTAACAACAGCATTGAATCTTTCAAGAACTGGTTCCGGTTTACCTGGTCCTATAATGACCATCCCGAATTCATCAACAATAAATACAGATGGAACATACAATTTTTCGCACGGTATAGTTTTTCAATATTTTATTTGGATTTTTTATTTCGATTTTGTTGTAAATAATTCAAAGTGCTTGCATTAATAATAGTTCTGTTTGTATGAACAAGTAACTTATTTTGTAGGTTATATTTACCATAGATTGATCTAAATTGGGAGTACCACTAAAAACCAGAAAGCTCTGAACAGCTCTTTCATCTTTGTATAAAAGTCTTTCGAATTTCGCACTCATGAACCCAACGAGGTCGAATCCAGGACCTTTAGTTTTCGTGTCATGCAATCTCTGAGTAGTACGGTTTGCTTACTGAGTATGATTGTCATGTTTTAAGTAACTTTATCAGTGCTTATTGCAAATATAAGTAGGCTTTTCTAAATTATTTCACAAGCACTAAGTACGTTATTCTAGTGATCTTGTTTATGATAGGTTGTTTTCACAGGATTTATCTTCAGACGCTTTTGGTTTTTCACCGGCTCTTCATTTTATTTTCGGTCTGGATTTGTCGAGATTGCTGAGTTTTAATTTGGATCATGAATCGCTCAATATTAGACGACCATTGAAAACCTGGAAGCACTAAATGACAGTTTCGTCCTACTATGGAACTCTTCAGCAGTACTTGTCTACGGTTCCACGCACGAGATTATAACCCAGGACCTTCGATCTCGCCCAAGATCCCTTAACCTTTAAACTACTGATCCGACATTCAACAGTATTGATGCCGAACTTTACCAACCCACGATGTCACGCGACCATCTTTCGTTGTCTTCAATGGGTAACTGCTTGATCACTGATCACGACTTCTCACCAGAACTCCGAGAATTCTCTCTCGATTCTAATCACTAGTGAACATATGATAAATTTCAGTTTGGGGTTGTAGAGATTGTTGAATTTCATTGAAATCATAAACCGATCAGTGTGATATATATATGGCGTACCATAAATTGTTTTGCTAATAGTTCTTTTTGGTCTTTATGCAATGGATTTTTTAGTCAAAACTGACTGGATCAAATCTAGTGTTAACAGATCAGAAAACATTTTCTCTCTTTACTTTAGAAATCACATCTTATCCTAATGGGATAATTAATAATATGAATTCTTATGGAGGGAACACTATGCTTATGATTGGTGCCAATTCTAATGGATTGTTAAATAATTCAAACAATGTTCAAATTTATCCTAATCATATTTATTATAATAATCAATGTTTATATGGTACAGATTATTATCATGGTTGTGTTATTGGTGGACCGACATCATCGGAATTATTAAGATTATTAGAAAATTGTCAGCTTGGTTTCTCATCTGGTGCATCCAGTATGACAGCTTTATGCTCAGAACGTTTAACACCGGCAGATTCATTAAATTCAATTATTCACCATTCAGGTTTGTGATATTGATTTGGAAACTTTTTCATTTCTCGCCCTCCTCCTCCTCCTCCTCATCATCATCATAAGGAGGTTGTTTCTGAACTATTTATATAGCATCACCTTATTGACTTTTTGATTAAATCATCGAAAACTTTATTTTTAATATTATGTAACAATCATATCAAATATATGATTTAGAAAATCTCTTTATTATCTAACTAACTAACTAACACATTGTTCTGTTTGCACAATTTAGGAAACATTATTAATTAGACACAAACTACCAGTTTTGTACTCACTGTATCTTGTCGACCGGTTTATTCTTTATTTTATTTTATTTTGTTTATTTATTTATTTAATGAATCGAACTGAAAGAAGGGTTACTGTTACTCTCTCCCTCTCTCTCTCTCTTTCTCCTTCTCCATATAGTATAATCATTGCATTGTCAATCAACATCATTAGATCCTTTTCTTTCTATCAGTTTCATTCATTTAATTCTGTACTCATTTGGTTATTCTTCTTCTTATTTTCTCTTTTTTTCTTCTTCATTCCTTGAAATAGTCTTCAGCATTAATTGGATAGTTTCTTACATTAACAAAGATTAAGTAATACTTATTGTAATGAATAGTGTTATTCATTACTATGTATGTATTGATTTATACGGTTTGTTAAAAGAAACACTATTCACTTATTATTTCCTGTTTATATATAGTGACAGGGATTACTATTATTATTATTAGTGTATTGTTTAATCCTTTTTTTAAGTTATGTAATGAAGATTATATTCTTTACATGATTGATTGATTGATGGTTATTTGTTAACTGATTGAGTGAATGTTAAATTTACTTCTTGTTTTCTGTTGAAATTTCAAATAGTAAATAATTAGTTTTTAATAGTTGAATTCATGAGTCAATTGAAACTAGACCACCATTGAAAATCTGGAAGCACTGGACGACTGTTTCATCCTATTATGGGACTCTTCAGTAGTGCGCATTCACGATCCTACCTCCCATGAGATTCGAACCCAGGACCTATTAGTCCACGCAAGCGAGCGCAATGCTGAGGAGTCCCATACTAGGATCAAACGGCTATCCAGTGCTTTCAGGTTTTCTATGGTGGTCTAACTTCAATGGACTCATGAATTCAGATATTAAAAACTACTATAATATCCACAAAAATTCCTCTCCGACAATAATTCATTCTTACAATTTATGAATATTTAGTGTTGTTGAAAGTAAAAGTTTAATGTCATTTAATGAATAGTACGTGATATCTTGTTGTTGAAATTACCGAGTATTTTTTTCCTCCATCTTCAAGTACTTTATTTATTTAATAAAATTATTTGATTATCATTTTGCTTATATTGTCTCGTAATGTGTTCTAGAAATTAGTTGATAATATTATTCGATATCCTCCCAAAAGAGTAAATAACGTAATGTGATTTAGCATTGAATGATAAATCGGTTTACTCCACCTGAGTTTTTGTTCACTACATATAGTATCTCTTCCAAAGGGGAGGTTGAGAGGCTGCAGTTCTGTGGTCGACGTTGCAGGGCCGGGAGAAGAAGCGCTAGTTAGTGCAATCGTATGCAGAAAAGAGACGTCGAGTTGAGTGCTCTGTCGGGGCGAAGTTGGGTGTAGCAGTCGCTGTTGACGGGAAGACGACGCGGGACGTTCCGGGTGATGGGTGGATGTTGGACAAGGCGTTAAACGTCCTAAGGGCTTAGTGGACATCGGGTATAGATTGCCCGGCAGGTCGACTGAGCTACGAAGGTTAGCGAGCCAAGGGTTTCGATATTTTGACGGGGAGTATGGCCCAGACTCGCGACAAAGAGGAAATTGACACGACTATCAGAACAAGTGCAGGGGCAACCGTTTAAAGAGGGTTGAGTGTGGTGTATGCTACTAATGTTGTTAGATATAAGTAGTATGTAGAAGCAACCGGAAGTGGAATGCCTGGTAGGCAAAGATTGAAATGAAGAGAACGGGAAGGAAATCGGAGAGCAATCGAAGTAACAGCAGAATTAGAGGAACTGCGCAGTATGTAAAGAATTACACAAGGAAGCTGTGCAAATGATGTGTTTAACGTATGATTGGTGAGACTATAATTTATGGACGAACCAATCAGATTTGAGGTAAGAAGTCTTAGATTTCGGCACGAAATTCATCCATTTATTTGGCTAAATAGAATTTTGGCAGTATAGCTGACGATAGTTGTTCTTGGTAAAAACCCTAAATTTAATTCCTAACTCTAAAGTACACCTGTAAATCCTGATGCTAATTCTTCACACTTATTTATAACACAGTAAGTGGACATTATCAAGGTCAATGTAGCGTCACTCAAAGGGCGTCCACAAATTATAATCTCATCGTATGATTTTCATATTTTACCAAACCACTGTATGATTTTGCATTGAACAATAAATTGGTTTTCCCCACATGAGTTTTTGATCACTACAGTACCATTAAAAAGTTTTTGCGGTAATATTTATTGATTTAATCATTTTTTCGGGGCTATTACAACACCATTGAACCCATAATTTTGAATAAAACAATCTATAAGTTTGGATGATCGCTAGAAGTGAAAATTGGGATGTGTATTCCGTCCTGTTTAGGATTTGCACACTTGATCTTTTAGCATCCCGGAGTTGGTTTTGGACTTGAAACTCTGTTTGTGGCAAATATAAATACCTAATGAACTCTTTCTGTATAGTTATTTGAGAATTTCAGAAAAAAGACAACTGGTTAACCTGTCATGCATTAAATATAGGTTGTAACGATAAATAAAACTGAAGGAAATCATTAAATCCTTTTGTTTCTATCACCGAATATTTTTTTAAATATTATTATCATCAGCTTTATTCAGTATTATATTTTTGGTACAATATAGAATTCTCAGCGCAAAGTATTTCAACAAGTTTCCGTTTCTTTCTTCTTGGTCGGTCCTGGCGATAAATATTGAGTGATCGCCAGTTAGATGTTAGCAGTCCAGTAAATGAACATCTGAATAATGTGCATTCTTTTCGTTGTGTATTGCCAGCAACCACATTGCCTTTTATTGTGTTTTTTGTAACTTTGACAACGAAAGGTTGTACACTTTCCAGAAACGCAGCAGAATACATCATGCGATTAATAAACATAATGAAAAATTAAAACAAACAAAAATAGATAACTTGTTGAAATATCTAGATGGCAGGAACAGATAGCCCAGATGCTCAAGCAGACCGCCCTTTATAGTCTTTTGTTATCGAGAATGTCAAAATTAAATGTTTTAGTACCATTATTAATTTTCAAAATCGGTGAGACCATAATTTATGGACGACCTCTGAGCGACACTAGACTGACCTCGAGAGTGTCCATCTAATAACCAAGATCAAATGAGGGTTATAAACCTGTGTTAGGAATCGGAATTATGGTTTACAGTTGATAATTAAAGTTAGAAATTAGATATAGGGTTTTCATCACGAACTGACATCAGCTATAATGTCAAAACTATATTTATCTAAATGAATGAGTGAATTTCGCGCCAAAATCCGAGACCTGTTATCTTATACGTGATTTGTTCGTCCATAAATTATATTCTCGCCTCAAAATCTTTAGTCGCTTACTAGGTATGCTTCGTAAAAATGTTTGCCTTGCACAATCATACAACAAAATATGTAAGATTCGTTACATACTCAGTTCTTTTCAGTTAACCCAACGTCACAAAAAATCAGACAAAGATTAAAATAAACTTTCATCATATGTACATTAATCACATTTGTCAGACCTACAACACCACCATTCACAAAATAATTCCAACACATAATCGAGTCGGCTTCTTTCAAAAGCACATTATAAAGAGTTCATAACAAATAAATGAATCTAATTTTGTTTGAGAATACTACTGACTGAATCTGAAGATTTTAAGTAACAAAACTAAAATATATTCGATATCAGAAGGGGTTTTGTGGATATTATAGTAATTTTCATAGTCGAGATCATGAGTCATTCAAAGCTAGATCATCATGGAAAATCTGGAAGCACTGTACGGCCGTTTCAATCGAGTAAAGGACTCCTCAGCAGTGCACATCCTTGATCTCACCTCGAGAGATTCGAACCCAGTACCTATCAGTCTACCTCGCGAACGCTTAACCACGGAATTACTATAATATCCACAAAATCCCTTCTGATATTAATCAACACATGCTCACTAGTGACGGTCCACAAGAGGTATTTCCTGGAGTTCCAGTCAGAAGCAGTGAACAGTGGAGTTCAACCAGGTCTGTTGTGAGATAATAACTCACTGAAGTCAATGATGGATGTGTCTCTTAATTTCGTGGATTAGTTGAAGTTAGACATTAACACAGTTGGATGCTGGCCGGCTCAGTGGTCTAGAGGTTAAGCGTTCGCGCGCGAGACTAGTAGGTCCAGAGTTCGAATCTCGCGGGGTGCGGGACCGTAGATGCGCACTGCTGAGGAGTCCCACAATAAGACAAAACGGATATCCAGTGCTTCAAGGTTTTCCATGACGGTCTAGCTACAATTAAATCATGATCTCAACCATAAGAATTAAAATATATTCAATGTTCCTAAATTACTGTCGTTTCAATATACCAGCAAATTTATCATGAGAGTAATTCGTGTTTCTTAGTGTTTTGTTTGAGAATTTAGTTTTTTTCATCTTACCATTATTAGTGAATTCCGTTAAATACGTTAGTGAAACTAAGACAGTTCGTCTAACGTTTTAATGTGAGTTTGTTGAGAAAATGATTATTAATTGTGTTAAGTAGGAATCAAATTTCAAGTTGACGAAAATTGGTTTGTTTGGAAAACTTCAAATAAAGATCCACATTATAATTACCATTAAAAATAGGATACATTCTCTCCATTGTAATACTATGGTATCAACTTAAATGAGCTTTGAACATGAGTACAGCATCATAATGTAGAGTGGATTCCAATATCTGGAATATTTATTAAATGTATTCGAGGAATTATTAACATTATTTAAGAATGTGATATTCATCATGAATAGAAATCAGTAGATAGTACTGCAAGAATTTAAAAAGCACTGAAAATTTGCTACTTCCTAGCATAAATCTCTTTACCATTAGAGACCCATGAATCCATCAGAATCTAGGGAAAATCAAGTTTCTGAATGAGCACTACACACTTTGACTAACAGATTAGATCTAATATTCAACATGCACAATTTCAAATAATAATAATAATCATATTATCATCGAATATCAATCTTTGTCTTATGGGAAGTATTCATAATCTATGAAATACATAATTACAATAAAGTGGGAAGGAATGTTTGAAACTGGATGTTTACATATTTTCATATGTACATGCATATGTTGCAATCCTTGTATTTTCTAGCTAAATATTCATTCCTTACCGGCTGTTCATGAGTTTTCGTATTTCAACTGATATGGTATTTTTTTTGCCATTTCATAGTGAAAGTAGGCTTTATAATATTAAAGCCTTAATAGAGAGTATTTAGTAGTGGCCCGTGGATCTGACTCCTATTTAGATCGTATACATGTTTGCTATCGCCTATTCTCGTATATAATCGTTGACTTAAATCACGTTATCCAATAACGAAATTAAATAAATCAAATAACGTGAATGGGATTTTGAATACATATATTTTGTATATGAGGTGAATGGAATAGAAGGAAGAGAAACGACGCAGAGTGGAGATGGCTGGTAAGCCAACTCATTCTTAGTCAAGTGTTACTCAATATTTATAGTCAGACAAAATTAAGCTACAGACATGCAATGAGTCATGGGATATGATGTGTACACACATATACGCTCATATAAAAACAATCAAGACTGACAAGCGAATAATTGGCAACATCAAAATAAGACTCAAGTAGAATGAATAGAATGGAATGTCCGAAAACTGGAATAAGATATATTATGGGCTAGAACTAATGTCTAGCACTACAAGTATTTGTTATCAGTGTGATTGTGTTATTTTGATCCATATGTACAGTTTTATTATTTTATTTAAAAGTCATAGCAACCAAACAACTATGTTTCAGATGTAAGATATGTCCAGTGAATCTTTAAGTGACAAAAAGTCACATAGATCTGTTGAGTTTCATATATGCAAATGGAGAATTTTACTTAAGGAACTTAAAGAGTTTACGTTACCACTATATTGAACCAAAATCTTAGAATTTATATCTGTGCCTACCTGGTTATAAATAAGAAAAATGCAACCTAGTTATCCTTGATTTCCAATTACTAATCTGAAATGAAGTTTTGTATAGCAGTTTGTATGAAGATCTAGAATTTTTGTACTTACTAAAACTTGAACATACAAAGCATCATGAATAAACAAAGCTTAGATACT